GCAGGTCTCGCGAATTGATGAATGTGACGTCCTGGTTGATGACCTCAGGCTCAGAGGAGGACGGGTCCGGGTTGTCAATGACATCGCGCCATTTGATCCAGAGCCCATTCCAAGCGAGACATTCGTCATCGCGGCGATTGTAGTCATCGCGTTCGTGGATGATGTTGATGGAATCCACTTCGAGATAGTCTATATGCGGGCCATATGTTAGTATGGAGGCGAGAGAAGTAGTAGAGAGGAATGGGGATAATATAGTAGGGACGTACCAGCATCGCCGACTCTCCAGAGACCCTCGAATGACTTTTGCTCCATGTCCCAGATAGCCATTTTCCACTCGGCGCAAACACCCAGGTACCTTCCACATCCACTGATGGTAATGTATTTGTCTAGTTCTCCCCATCCCTGTGGTGTCGGGATTCTGCTTCTTGGGGCTACAAGGAGCGCATTTGCCTCTGCTTCTGTTTCACCCTTGAAGACGCCCACTTGTGGGGGATCATCGAGGCTGGACTCATCGCCCAAGTCCCATACAAAGAGGTTCTCATAACCGTATTTCTTCCTTCTACCGATACCGGCCCACATGCCATCATCGTCATCTCTACGAGCTGTTGGGCCAAGCCCGCCCAGAGATGCTACGAGAACTCCGTCACCGATTGCGAAGGAACACCACATGTAGCAGCGGTCAGCGATGGCCCGTTCTTCCTCTGCAAGGTTGAGAATCTTGATTGTGTCGCCGGTCTGTACGGAGAGAATATGGAATTCCATGACAGCTCTGTACGAGTAACGGTCCGGACGCCCAACAAGTGGAATGACATGACGGCGGGTAGAGTACGCAATCACAGTAGAGTTCATGGAGATACCATCGTTATCGAGCCAGTATTCGCCGCTTCCCCCGTCGCCCCCCTTCACCACCATCCTGCGCTGCCAACGGAGGCTGTTGTCGGAGCACATGGATCTGTGGTTTTGATTCAGATCCTCTTCGGCGCCAGTCGGGACGTTTCCTGCAAAGCAGTTGACTGTACTGGCGCGATGACCGCTGTTGTCGTCACAGACAACGAGGTGTTTACCGCAGCTCTTGAACTCCCAGGTGATTTCACCATGCTCCTCATCCCACTCTTGCTCGGCATCCCGTACCAGCAGAGCTTCCAGGCTCAGCTCCTTTACGGAGCGGGGCATCTTCCATGCCATATTAACCTCTACTTCGCCATCTGAACTCTCCATACAAAGCCGCTCTACCGTTGCGACCTCCAATTGCTTCTGCACGAGTCGAGGCACAAACCGTAGGTTTGCGTCAGAGTGGAGGAGCGACTTTGCAAAGTTCACAAGTCCGAGATCAGATACATGCTTCATGGTCCACAATGCTTTATCCACCGTGAACCAATCTCCATCGAGCTGCGGCGGTGTTGCCGACGATTTCTTCCTCGGAAGTGCCCTGTACGTGCTCGCATTGACACCGCGGCTGACGGTACCCCAACGTTGCGCATTCATGAATTTATCGTGGTCCACTGGCTTGATAAAAGGACTCCATGCCTTCTCGGCCTCTGCGATATCTCTAGCACTTGGCGGCGGCAGGATCCCATGCGGCGGTAGTATTCCGTACGGTGTCGATTGATCATGTTTCAAGCCCTTTTTATACTTGCCGGCCAACGCCTCCACCTTCTCTTGATGCTGCTGCTGCAGTCTCTGACCCAATGGTACATTGGACGGCGATGCCGAGGGTGCACCGCCGAGGATTGCAGCACGCTGGACTGTGATCCAGCCGCGATCACGCTTTTCGGGGAACACACGGGGGTCGTCTGAGAAGAGAATCCAGCTTGATGTTTCGCCCTGTTTCGACGATGTCTTTCCCGGTGGTTGGGCATCTCCCCATCCGCATGTCCTGACGCCGACATAGGCGACGCCCTCCTCAGTGCGTGCGGCTTCAGTGGACGAGTGTACAAAGTCGATGATACGGCTGACCATGCGCCCCTTAGGGTCCACTGATAGAGGGGGTAACTGTGCGGCGGCGCATTTCTCGTTTTTGTGTGAGGCCAGGGTTCGGAAGTTGTCTTGGACATTCCAGTCACGTGCGACATAACTGGGCCCATATCGCGTGGTTGGACAATTTTCGTCTGGGATACTGGTGGTTGAGGGATGGTGCAACTCGGCGGGAAATTCTCGGCGGGAGAGGTGCAAAGTTCTGGCAAACGCCTTGAATGTTTGTCGCTTTGTGGTGGGTGAAGGAGGCACACGGGTTCCGGATAGGTTGGGGTCTGGGAAAAGTCGGGTGTCGTGGGAGAGCAAGAAGAATGCTGCGGCGCGGTGGATGTATTTGTCGAGGGTGGGGTCCTCGATTATGTCGTGGAAGCCCTTGCAGGTAAGGTTACAGGAGCGGAGGGAATCGGGGCCGCCGGCAAGACCAACGAATGTGAGGATACGAAAGAGAAGCTCTGGTGGGAGGCGAGAGATTGGAGATCGGGGGAGCTCCATCTCCGTATGGTGTTGAGACTCTCTGCTGTCCATCGGTCGTCGAGTGGTGATTGTGATTGTGATGGATTGTGGAGGTGGTGGGGCGGCGGGGTGGTGGTGATAGTAGTGATGACAACACTAGTATAGTATAGTAGTCCTGGTGGAGAGGCTTTTGGGGAAGGGACGGCAATGCTCCGTAGATGTAGATGCAAATAGTGTATTCCCTATCAGCAAAAGTGACTGCTAGAGATAGGTAGCTGAGGTGAGGTATGTAGCGTAGTATGTATGAATGAGTGAAGTTCCGTTGTGCTCACAGACACAGACGGGAGATTGATTATAGATGTATGCTGCCTGCTGCTGTCAAACACTGTGTAAGTAATCTCTGGCCGTATCCTGTCCTAGCTCATGCTAGCTGTCTGTCTGTGTCTCTCTTTTCTCTTCCTGTCAATTCCCTGTGCTGCTGCTGCTGCTGTGTTGTGATGGTGGGGGTATAGAATTGCAGAGGTGTGTGATCGGATGTGCAATATCGCCGTCGTCCTCTTAGAGAAGATCGGGGGTGCGACAAACAGTGGAATCCACACTCAAGTGTATCCAAAAAAGACAAAAAAGAAAGAGTCTCAGAAACATACACCTTAAACAGCACCGTTTTCTTGCAAGTGGTGTTTTTCTCCCGTGCGGTTATCGCGGATCATTTCCCTATTAAGATGGGGGGAGTGATATAAAGATAACAATTGAGACTGTAGCTACTGCAACTGCACGCTTGCCTACCTGGCTACCTGCATGCTCTTCTCTTTTGACCTCTTCATCATCTAGTTATTCATCTTCCTCTTCAGCCAGCTACTGGTGATTCTTCAACCTTTCCCCCAGCCATTAAAGAAAAACAAATTCCTGTAATATGCTGTATGCTGTATGTCAGTACTTGTTTACCACGAAAAGAACCAGAAAATGCAGTTGCTCAGGGCAAGGATTATTTGTATGGAGTGGCGGTGATCTCTCATACAAATTATCCCTGTTTCCGTCACTTGCATTTTCTGGTTCTTTTCGTGGTAAACGAGTACACGTACTAGCTACCTACCTACCTGGTACCACCATCGTCCGATATCTTCCAGGCACTACTGATTGACTGAACTTTTTTCCTTCCTTGCTTTTGCATAGTCTACTTGCAATTATGAAAACATTTTCACTCTTGCGCCATGGCCACGCCCACAATCAGTGATCAGTCAATCAGACAATCAGAAAATCAGGAAATCAACTACTTAGCAAGCTGTGTGTAATGTATGTACTATATGTATGTATGTACCTACCAGGGGACCTATAAAACCAGAGCCACTGACGGACAAAGCTGGGGTAGGAAAAACGCACAACCAGAAATATTCATGTGGAATATTCCGACCGACCCATAAACTGAAGATTAACAACCTCCGGTTGTTTTTTTATACCTGGTACAGAGTTAAAACAAGCCACGGAATACGGACGGCTACTCGCACTGCATGGAAATCTTTATATGGTAGGTATGGTATGTGCACTAGCTAGCATACTTTTTGCACAGTAAAAAAAAAAAAAAAAAAGACTGGGACCACAACTTCAAAGCATATACCTATCCGTTATTTCCCTCGAGCTCGATGACAGGTAGGAAGGAAGATAGGCGTTGAAAAGAAAGACCCTGCATCCTTTTTTCTCTTTCTGCATATTTCTTACTTCGCCCTTCACCTGGCGATGACCCCGGGCACAAAATGCAAGTCCAAGGCAGCCCATCCATCCTTTGTGTCTTTCTCTGGTCCGACGTATTGACCATCTAGGTGTGTTGTTTGGAATGTACGTTATTATAAGCCATGTCCTCGAGAGCTCTGTGATATATGCAACCCTTGTGATCCAGACGTCACACACAGACAGGTATTTGTGTATCTGTAGAGTAATCTTTCATTTCCACCTTTTCCCCGGCCCCAGTCTTGATCGAAGGCAGTAAGGCAAAAAAATCCAAATGCAAAGAAGAGACCGTGAAACATTTGAGGTGCAACTTCGCATTTGCCCCCACCGTGCGTTTGTTTCGTTCGTTCGTCCATACGTACGATCAGCGAAGAAGTGGGCGGCTGTTATGGTATATATACCCTGAACAATTATGCATCCAGGGACCTGGATGGGTGGGCGTGGATAGGCGTGGATGCTTGATGCCTGGAAGAACGACAGAAACACCCTGGGATATGTACTCTGTAAAGCACCGTACTCCCAAAACAATTCCACCACCGCCATGCAGAATGTATGTTCGCCCTCCTCTCAACTTGGCTGTCTGTTTATCGTCCGTCGCAAACACAACCATAACCGTCCACCATGACAGCCCCACTCTTCACCCATCAGAAACAGCTCAACATCATCTCAGTCGCCGCTCTTCGCATCCATTGCGGTTCGTTCCCGTGCCACCACACTGCACTGCTACTACTGCAGCGGGACATCGCACAACCCATGTTGTTGGGTTCAGCACATCCATCCAACCTTTTTCTCCACCCCCCTCACCTCTCAACCCCAGTCATCAATTCCATTTCATCCCTCTCCATCCAATGACGTATATTACCGTACCGCGATGTCTCACACCTCCGCTGCAACGGCATGGCACGGCAGTTTCTATTGATCAATTGAGGTTAGATGGGTTCTTTGTTTGCACTCATCCTAAGTGTCCATACTGGTATTTACCCCCACTGGTTCAGAAAATTAAAAAACAATGGGAAATTAAAGCAAGAAAGCTCAACAAGAACCATATAAACTAGGCTTTTGTGGATTCAAAACGCCAAAGATAACCCGAGGTTGTTGATTGGTGTAAAACATCACCACCGACTCTCCTCACACCCCGAGTGGGACTACATACATATAGGTAGACTATAATACTTGGAGTACCACGACGTATGCAACAGTGCCAAACAGGCACATGACACAGGACGTCATTTCGTTTATTTTGTAAACTTCCGCCCTGCGCATCCATCCATGCCAGCAGGACATGAGGAAGAGGAGAGTCAGCGAGCGTGTAACGTAAAACAGAACAACGCAACAGAACATCTAGACGATTATTCCTCCGAAACGAATCCGAAGCTGCCCTCAATGGCGATGTTTCACAAGGTCAGGCACTAAACCCTGCTTGGATTAGCTGGGATGAGAAAACTGTTGAAGAATCCATATTGAACCCGTCTATATCGAGGAAGCGGTTGGTGTAAAGAAGTACGTACGTTAACCCCTCCCGGTTTTACTTTTGTTGAGCTCCGATCTCAGATAGGAAGAGAAATACTACCTACACATATGTACTTTGGTCCAATGGTCTGCAGGAGGCTACAGCCCCAAGTAGTTGTAGATGGATTGATTGTAAGCTTTAAGTTTTCCCTCAATTCTTATTCGTGGTGGTATGTATGTAGTAGTGTTCAAATGCAGAGTTCTGGGCTGAGAGGGGAAGCTTACTATTGTTGTCTCGTGTAACCCATCAAGCTCTTGTCAGTTTTCTGTTTTCTCCGCACTTTTCAACGACTGGGGAACGTCTCGTGTAAAGCTACTACATCGGGTAGATGATCCATCATTTCTTTCCCTCCAAGAGCCCTAAGAGACAAAGGAGACGGGGGAGAAAGAAAAAATAAAGATAACTCTGATCCCCACATTCCATAATTATTCCCAAGTGCCGGGGGAGCGGGAAACTCCCCAAAGATTGGGCATGAAATCCTGCAGGAGAATGGAGTAGGCTAACCTCTGTGAACAAACTTGATAGATCATACCGCCAGGACATACCACTGTAAGTATATGAGGAAAGCTGTTGAAGGGCTCAAGTTGTTCGATTTGGCACCAAAATCGAGCAAGGAGGCCCAAGATCCACTCGCCCTCATTAGAGTATCATGAAACCCGATTCACTTTGAGTGGGTCCATCAATGCAGGCCATCGTGTGATTTATGATCATTAGTTGTCTTTGATGTTCAAGTCCAAATACTAGGTAGTCGATTTATCGACGTTGTAATAATAGCAAAATGAGAGACGGCGAGTGATCGATTGTGAAGGCTTGGCTATGATCAGATCTCGATTCGTTCGTCCAATTAAAGTTATCCAAATAGCTTCTTGAGATAGATAGGAGTCTAGATTATGTCCATGAATAAACTAGTAGCATGGTCTCGAGACGTTCATTAACCAAAGATTCAAACCCCATGTGAGGAAAAACAAAAAAGAATGATGACCCAAGCGCGTCTCCGCAGTTGCAGAATCAGTAAGGTGGGTGATACCGACCCGGCCTCGGAGCAGCACCTTCTTTCACTTCCCAGTGCCATACATTTTTACCAACCCAGGGCTCCGGTAAGTCAAGAGTTAGCCTTCTGACCCAAGGTTTGGAGAACACAAGCCCGGGTTAGGGAAATAAGATTTTTCTTAGTCCCGTGTGGTGCGACGGCAAAAAGAAAGGGGGGTTTTCGATTGCATCCACGCTTCCTGTCGTGCTTTTTTCGATTTCCAGGAATGGAGTTTTGGGAGTGATGGGGAGTCGGGAAAAGAATTACTAGAGAAGAGGCGTATGGAGTGCAGGAAGCCAGTACTCCACAAATTCCGTAATCCAGGTAAGCTGGACACCACCATGAAATATCATGGATGCAGGTGTTACATAGAGCGGCAGATTTATAAATTTAAGTCAATAACCTTTTTCGCAATAGCTTTTTGGATTCATAGAGGATACCACCCGTATTGCCCATAAATATCACTTGAAAGAGCTGTCCTGTTTAGAATTTTGTACCTTGATATCCTTGGTTCGAGAAGAAGCGAATTTTATCGCCACCTTGTCTAGATCTATGCAGGAAACCGTATTTGTAATTAGGAGAGGGTATCTAATTATGTCTGGGCATACATAATTCAGGTTCTTTTATAGCTGTTTTCTAAAAAAAAAAATCTACTAAGCCCACTATTAGCGAGATAAAAAGGGGTAAGCTGCTGTTGTTCGTTTAGGTGCGAGAAGCGGGTAAAAATTATTTTGTAGACGAAAATGGACATGTTTCCCCCTTATTTGATATTATTTTAGCTAAACCTTCATAAATTAAACCATTATATATACCGATCAATGAAATCTTATAAAATTTAATGGAAGCCATCCCGTGGATATTCTGAAGATGTTAAAACTGAAGCCTTGAAGATAAATTACAGATCTTGCATAGAAACGGCTCACAACAACTCTGTAGACACCCCCCTGGGGGATCTACAGACCACATTTGAACACCTACAAACCTTCAAAAATATCCATGGGATGGCTTCCAATGAGTTAAAAATAACAGCAATGAATGAAAGAAAGTCCAAGTGACGCGAGTGATAATCTATGATTAAAAAATCAAGATCAGTTGAAATTAAGTATACGTACCGTGAATACTCAACATCTTCAACAGCCAGTTCAGATATCCTAATAAACATAGAAAACCGATGAGACAATGGCCTATTCGTATTCCTTGAATTGGGTAAGCAACTCTATCATAGCCTGTGGTTTTTGCTTCAATGGGCCAGATACATTGTCGCGAGCTATGAATATATATTTGAAAGGAATTTTATATGCATCTAAATCTTACGAGGATGACTTAATTCTCGACGAGATGCGGTTCTTTGCGACCTAACAGACACTAAAGATAAGAGAGTGTAAATACGTAAAACGAGAAGCATTACAAAGGATCGGCCAAAGAACTGCCGCAATTCTGACACGTATAGTCCTCAGCTGCATTCGAGATTTCTATGAGCATTGTTGTGTTTATGTAGAAACTATCATGCTTTAATATATACTTAACTGGCTTATATTATACCAATATATTGGGAGACCATGAAGATGATCTATAAGCTAGCTAGGCCGCCGGACCAACCCAAGACTACCCTTTCAAATTCAGCCATCCATAGCTATTTTAAATTGCTCGATGAAAAAGAAACAGCCGTAAGCGTGACAGGTAGGCGGAGGTAATATAATATTGATAGGTGGATCATGGAAGGTGGGTGTCTGGTCATGAAGTTGATTGAATAGTTTGATCTCGAGCATCTGGTAGATAACATTACGAGAAGGTACGGTATGGCATAGATGCACATACGTCACACAATAGTCTCAAAAAGGAACTAGTGATATTTCATCAAACCACGTGCCGTCTTGAACGAGCGCAGACTTTCGATCTATGCTTAAGGTTGAAAAGCTTTATTCCTCCCCCCGACATGTGTCCATCATCATCACCTCTGAACCCACTACGTCTCATATAGGAATGAATCCTGTTTTAGGTATTTATGTGGCAGTTCAAGACCTCAAACTTATTTCTTGTGGGCCAGCTGCAGTACTGTCCGGCCGAGGCACAGCAAGCCTGATGCTCACACTGATACTACTACAAACTAGCTCCTCTGTGCCTTACTTACAGTACTTACATGTACTTCCTTCCTTTCTCGCCTCGTTTATAAGCGGACAGCCAACCAATCAATCGGAAAACAGTCGTCCCATTCATCCAATTTACCAGATAAAGGACATCGTCTGGCTCGCCTAGAAGTTGTTGGTCACTCTAAAATTCTGGACCCGGTTGCCGGAACCTTGGTGTCGCTTCCCTTTTTTGAGCTTCAATTAAAGTTTGTGCAACTTTCAATAACCCCCCGACCTGGGCTTGTTTTTAATTGGTGGCTATAACCTACATGTATGCCTATACAAAGTCTCAGTCTATCCAGAACGCCAACACACGACTGCACTCTTTAAACTAGAATGGGAGGAACGGGAATGTATATGTAAATTACATATCATTTGCTCTCGGACTCTGACGCAATAGAGCATTCCAATTAATACGGATACAAGCCATCGATTATTCCAGATTAAACATATCACCACAACTCTGAAACGAACCACCTACAAAGAATTATGCGGTTTGCAACCTCCACCGCTTACATATACTCATCGCCGAAAAACGGATCATCGGACCTGATTTCTCGCCTCCGGTAGAGCGCGAGCTGGATACCTGTTTACTGGCTAAATTTACCATTGACGCTTACACACCCACAGACTTCATAAGCTGACTTTGAATACAAACACAATAATTCAAAGTAACCGAGCGAGCGAATCATCGGTTTACTTGGGTGCTTTGGATAAGTCATGCAGGGACTGGCCTCTAAAACGAGTTTAGGTCAGGGACCTAACTAACCGGGACCGATACGACCCCTGCCCTGGCATTTAAATGACTCCACCCTCGCATATTCAATACGATTTAAGCATTCTCCTAAACGTTGAGTATGCTAGGGCTATGAAACAATTGGGCCAATTCTGCATACCCACGAAGGAAATTTCGGGCAGAACAGCCCGGTCCTGATGGATTTGAGAAGCTGTGTCGGCCGAATCTAACTAACCGATTCTTTAGTGACTCTCATTAGGTTCTGTGAACTTCTACCAAGAGTTACAGTATTAGGCGCATCAGCAAATCTGGAAGCAGATTTATTACTTTGTGTCAAATCCTAGATGCTGTTATCTTAAATTAAGGATCTAATCTACCTCCAACCTCATCAATTGAGGCTAGATTTCCGTTAGACTATTATTAGAAGAGGGGATCGCTTTATCTGGATTATATCATCAATCCGATACCAAAACATTAAAGATTCAATGGGCTATAATCTCACAGCTAAATATCCGTTTCGATACCCAAAAGATTCTTCTATGAACTCGTGCGCATACACAGTGACATATGCATGCTATCACATCACATATGCACACTTTATGTGTACATGTACTCTAGATACACAAACTATATACCTAGGCCAGGCTTATATATATACCCGGCAGCGTATAAAATACTTCGGTACCAGGTAGAGAAAAGTATGGAATATCACTTCTACACCTGAAGATACTGGTAGCAGTTAGGTATTCTTAGGTATAGCACATACCTCTAGATCTCCTTGTTTAATCTGGATACTAATTTCTTCTAGCAAATGTCGCTATTGAAACACTGTGTCGCACAAACCATCGAGTGATGGTGTATGAATTACAACCGAAAACTGTAGGGTTCAGCATGCAGATACTGTTCGAACCTCTAGTCCCTATATAGGTATGTGATAGATTCCACGGCGCATATTGCATGCTTACATTTCTCTTTAGAAAATTTCCGAAGAAACCCATGGATATGGCACGAGGTCAGGATGACTCTTAGTCCTATTAACACACACACATCAAACACTTCCCGGGGTAAATATCCGCTGCTTTCTCTATCTGTATGACTGCATTATGTACTAGAGACCATATGGGATGGTGAAAAAGCAAACGCACAGAAAACAAACTTCTCATAGATCAGTTTCTTGGTACATAATAGTTGGAATATGGGGTACACACGAAGTGTTAGGTTCTCGAGATTTCTCTGGAGATTACTTGGATTTTGTGGTGCAACATGCATTAGTTTTTATTGAAACAATCTAGACCCAACAGTATGGGCCTAGCCAACCGGCTTGTATATTCAGTGCTTACGAATTTCTTCGCCGAAAACCGATAGCTGCATCCTTCAAGGCCTTCCTTGCTATGGACCCGAAAGGAGTAGCTACCGGTGAGGGAGAAACCAAGTAATGAACAGCGTGATTATCGCAACAGCACCGAGAATCGGTCGCCATATCTCGACGTCATATCTCTCTCTTCCAGGGCAGCCTAGTTATCAGACACATAGAACCTCTCATTGTTAGGAAGCCTAGACTAAGAACTCGACAACGAGTGATATATCATGGTACATAGCCAGTCGTGCTGACGCGACTGTTTAATTTCCGAAAATTCACCGCCTACATACATGTTTAGTGAGAGAGAATTTATAATTAAATCTCCAAATGGTATTAGAGCCAGCCCCTATACATGTGGTATTGGCAACTAAATGCATATGTTGCATCAGCAAGCAGCAAGCAACAAGCTACCCCTTGCTGTCAATTGTGGATATCTAACGTCTAGCTAGGAGTACGTACCCCAACATTAAGTACCGACCCGACCACGCTAGGATCTCGGGAACCCCAAGCTAGACAAGTACTCTAGCGAGGAGATAAAAAGCTTCTTTTCACGCGAACCCGTCTATAGTTGCCGATAATATTCCTTGATAGGGATGAGACATTGGCAACCTCTGATCATCGTCTACTTGGCAACGTTATGTCGAGTCAAATTAGGAATACCATCCATCACAAGCGAGATAAAGAGCTCAGAACTGTCACTGGCATATCTGCTGTTATTGTGCCGCTTGTCCGCTGAGTTACATCTATCCTGGGATTTATTTACGGACAGCATCGGTATACGTCTCGGGAGTAGTATTGTGTCAGAAAATATATCCCCACAATTCAACATAGGACACCTTATGCCCTGTCCGGAACCTATCTATTACCCACACTTGATGTGTGTGCAATTAACTGTTGTTAGTTATACCACTGTCCTATAATCCATCCATCCGGAGCATCCCGTTTGACCATGGTAATTGTACTTGTTCATATCATGTATCCATAGGTTGTACTCCTTTACCTTGGGTATCTAGGGAAAATAGCAAGCTTCGCCCTGAATACATAACTATCAGAATGGTATACGTATACTACCCTCCCTAGGTATTTCGACATGGTGGTCATGAGCACAAAATTTATAATTGGCTGCTGCCAATGTCACCCCAGCGCACTAGCACACAACCACTGCCCTCCATGATACCCATTAATGAGATATTAGTTGTGCTGCATGGTTATGCACACGCGTATGTTCTCTCCCCATGGCTAACGCCACCATGCTCCACACACACACACTCTCTCTACTCCACGCTCCGCTCATCTTCCCCGCAATACAATAGAGGCACGGACCGGACCAGGGCCTATCATACATTGCACGTAATTCTACCTGAAGAAGGGTTTATGTGCACGGTCCCAGCCCAAAATAAGTCCTCTTGTTATTTTGGACGTGGCTTGGATTTAGGTAACGTCTGGCCAAAAGAAGTTATTGAAAAGATCAAGAAAAGTGGTAAGGTTAGTCATGCGGAGAATCATGGACGAATGGTTGCACGGTGCAGCATTGCAATGACGGGCCCTAGCTCGGGGGACTCGCAGGAAGAAGAAAAAAAATATATTCCGTGACAGCCAGCCAGCCCAGTCTACTTCACCATTCCTCTTAGCACGACTAGCTAACTAGATGAGTTCCACCTGATGACCCCCCTGAATGAAGAACAAGCAAATCGACAATCCACATGGGATTTTCCGTCGATCATTCACTAAACACTTCAAAACATGCAAGCACATTTTTTTCGCCGCCGTTGGATAGACATTAATATATCTGTTTAGTGAAGTGGGTAAAGTTTCGGCAATCCCTAATAATTTGCCATGATCATTCTTTCCATTCTTGATATTTAATATCTCGCATGTCCATTTACTTATTCCCTTAGGTTGCCAACCAGCACCCCACCTCCACCTCCCGCGATCCCCATTTTGTTTCGTTCGTGAAGTAGATATAATGATGTAACACTCCCATCGCAACCGCAAGTTATGTAAGGGAAAAGGAGAAAAAAATACAAGCATATACAGAAAGGGACATTAAGAGACCGAGAAGAAGAAAAAAACCGTGGCGATGCTTAGGATATAAAGCAAATAAAGAAAGAAAAAAGGAAAAAAAGGAAAACCAAAACACCAGCAGAAAGGGATATATATATATAAAATAAAAAAAGCGATTATAGCAGAAAGAAAAAAAAGTCGAGAACCGAAAATAAAAATCGCTTTGCCCGAAGAGAAGACATGCTCACAAAATAGACTAAACCGGAAGGATAAAAAACAAAGCAAAAGAATCCCCTCCCCCATGCAGATGAGCCCTATTTCACACCGCACCAATAAACAATAAAAAAAAAAAAAAAAACGCACGAGCCCAAGCCTGCTCACGTAACCAAAAAGTCGTATCCCATCTCTTGAATTATCTTCTCCCAATCCCAACTCTTCTCCTCCTCTCCCGAATCCATTAGATCCCATACTTTCTTCACAACCTCATGTGCAGTAACAATATTCCCCAGTCCCGAGTACTCGTGTAATCCGACAAACCGCCGCGAGATTTCTGGCCGCTGCTCGGGGTTGAAAGCCGCGCAGCCGAGAATGAAGAGGGGCATCAGTAGAATGCTCTGTGTTCCAGAATTCTCGGGCAAGTGCCTAAGATACTCGAGACCTTCCTCAACTGCAACATCAATCTTGGGGCTTGCAGTGGATGGCATGATGGTCCGGTACAAGTAGACCCATGTAGACTGGCGGTAGAGCTGTGCGGCAATGTATCGATGAGACGCAGGAGTTTGGGCTGGAACCCAGTCGCGAATCTCAGAGTCAATTGCAACAGCTTGTGAGAGCACCTCGTAGTCAACCGCAGGATGATCACCCCTATTCTTCCTTCCCCTGATGTGATCTCTGAGTAAAGTAATCTTCGATAAGTACCCAAACAGGCCATCGAGGACACCCAGAAGAGCCCCGGCTTCCGGTTGGATGATAAAAGCAGGAAGGGTGTAGTTTTCCATTAGCAAAAGCGGTCGTCTGTCAAGTGTTGTCACTGAGTTTATCACGTCGTGGTACATGAAAAACTCGTACAGAAAGTTGCTGAAGGAGGGGTTGTTATTCCTGTTTCCAGAATTCGCAAAAGCCAACATATGCCTGGCCGCGTCCAGGTGAGGTCTATATTCGCCCTCAGTCTCTCCCTTGCATATGGAGTTCAAACAGAGTATAAGTGTCGTGGCGATGGTCGGGTCACCTGCAATTGGAATCTGTCCTGTAACAGCTGGATCGCACCGCAGATATTGCATGGCCTTTCCAAAATGGTGATGCTGGGCTACGCTGAATGATGGATCTGTATTGGACAGATGGGACCCAGATAGGCACAATAGCGAGTGCATCAAGCCACGATTCTCGAGTGCCAGGGGAAGCAGCATCTCTTGGAACGGATTGGTGGCATCGTTGAAGAGTGTGAGGATGCGGCTAACGTTACGGACGAAGTGATCAAGCAGAGCCCTGTCTATTCGAGTCTCCACGCCGTCAATTAAACACGGAAGATCCGCAAACCGGGCAAGCGCGGCACTGGGATTAAAACTCCTGCCTGTAAACGGGGTTAGTAGACGGTCGTTTGGTGTGTAGGTCCGGTGCGCAGATTCACCCTCTGCCTTCTGGCGGCCGCTTTGCCAGACGGTCTTTTCTGGATACCCTTCACAGACAACTGCGTTTTTGATGCAGTTGTTGCCTATAATGCAAGAAAAAAATAAATGTTAGGAACACTATCATAGCACCAACGTGGAGCCTGTCAAAGGTGTAAACGAACATTCTGGTTTCGTCTCGTCACATTTCTTCTTCCTCCTTCTGCAAGTAATACAGCCTGTTTTCGACCTGCCCTTGGTAATCTTTGTCTGCGTCCCGATTGGCGGAAGCGGATGCTTCCGTGGTCGACCTCTCCCTCGTTTTGACGGCTCCCCGGATTCTGTGGATGGTGACGGTAGCGGGGGAACATTCCTCAACTCGTCGTCATTGTCTAGCTCCTCAATTTTGGTAACAACCCCATCCGCCATCAAACTGTCCATGTTCCCATGAACTGGTGGTGACGAAGTTGAAGACGAGGCTGACGGCGAGCTAGAGACCGGACCACTGCCCCCCGAGGACATAGTTGAGGTCGAATCTATTGATAGGCGTGTCATGCTCCCTCGAGGATAACCGATTGCTGCCACTGCCGCCATATGCTGTTGAAATGCAGGCGGAAACGAAATCCAATCCCTTCGCTGCTGCACCTCCTCCGACCCTGAATCTATTGGGGAAAGAATTGTGAAGGTTGTGTTTCGAGTTCGTCAGACCTAGTCTGGCTCCACCAGCTAACTATCGAACAACGTTCCCTTCTGTCTTTTTTTTACGTTTTTCCAAGACCCTCTAAGATTCGTCCACTTGGCTAAGTAAATCCAGCAACGTTGTGGGTTAGGCAGTGGTTGATTGGATGGGTGGTAAGGGTGTGTGGTAGGGGGGAAGGAGGAGCGGACTAGTGGGACTTTATCGTATGGCTGGTTGGTTGATATATAATGGTGATGGGTTAGAGTGATATGTAGTGGTTTTATGGGATGGGGGGACGTTGTTATGGGAGAGGTTGAGGCTGGTAGTGGGTCAGTAGGGCGATAGATAGTAATCCTGCGCAGTTACTTGCAGTAGCCGAATCGATAAGGAGCGGGCAGCAGCAGCAGCAGCAAGTAACTGAACAAGTATTCCTTTTCAATGATTTTTAGGAAATGACAGCAAAGGAGAGGAGAGGCCAACAGAAAAGAAAAGAAAAAAATCTCCAAAAAATATTCCCCAGCGCTCCACTTATGAAGTAGACGGACAAAATATACAACCACTCGCTGTGAGGAGTGGGGGAAATGTTGAAGATCAGACGAAAGCTGTTTCGAGGATGGAGGGGGCGTGGTTCAGTCAGTGGGTCAAGCGGGCCAACAGTAAACTAGCCGGAAGACACAGAGCGAGTAACAAGTTGTATGGGTATATACTGGCTGGAGGAATGGGGTTCTCTTTTGACGGGACTAAACAACGGCCTCTCTCTCCCAAAGGAACGAGCGGGCGAGCAAGCAGTAGCAGTGAAGGAAAGGGGAAGGAGAGGTGAAAGTGAGGGAAAGCGGGTCCGGTGGATAGGTTGAATTCTGCATGGGAAGGGTGGGTGGTGTGGTTGAAATATAACTAATGGAACTGAAGAATATACCTCTGGAGAGCACACCACCACAGCAAGCAAGCAAGAAGCACCGGAACGAACTAGGGAGTAGCAGTAGCGGCGGGAGCAGCAAGCAAAGCAAGCAAGTAGAGAATGTAGTAACAATGGGCGCAAGTACCAATACGGGCTATTTTGGCTGGCTGTAACACCTCTCCCAAGTAGCTGAAAATCACACACACACACACACACACACACACACCACCCTTCGACGGTTGTGCACCCTAATAGGAAATTGAACAGTGGTGGTGGTGATGATGAGATTGAGGAAGAGGTAGTAAAAGATAGTCTATTCACACACGGAAATTTCACACTAAATGAGAGGAGATAGATGACGGCGTATACGTAGATGATGGGCCGATGCGGTGATAGGGATGCCCTGGATTCTGCAGGGGTTCAGAGGGAGGGGGGGTTGAGTGAGGGGGAATGAATTGGGATGAGGATGAGGAAGATGGATGTGCGGTGAGGACGAAAGATGGGATGAATGGATTAAGAGGTAAATAACAGTCTAGGGGAAAACGAACTCGAGGGAACGGGTATTTTTGATTAGAAAGGGCCGAGAGGACGGCGGGGGTAGCATGGGATGGGAGCGACGGATGGACTAGTGCTATGTACTCTTCGCCTGGCTGCCTGCTTAGCCGGGGGGGTGGAGGGATGCCTTTTTGCTGCCAGCTGCTGCTCAATGGTTTCATTCAGGTTGTGGTTCCTGCGCTCTTCCTCCATGTATGTACTTGCAGTGGAATGATTCCAAGAAGGTAGGTGGGCATGAAGTGCCCCCCCCCCCCCCTCTAGAAACACTCAAGTCGTGATATGATGGGAGGAGGAGGGGGGGAATGCAAAAAAGCGTGTGGTGTGCAGCTACATGTAACTACATGCTCTAGTTAGAGTAGGTACAGGTAGAATAATCAACGCACTTGAGAGGCGAGACGAACATTGCCCACGAATTGACAGCGGAGATCATCAGATTAACCCTATGTCTCTGTACTAGTAGTGTCAGAGTCAGTCATTTCAGATTTTCAGTTCATTTCAGTTCAGTTCAACAGTTTTCAGTTCACATACGTAACTTAGCACATCGAAATCTCCGCTCCCCGCCCTCCGTTCACTTCTCAACCAAACTCACCACCGCCCCCCTCCCCCCCTCCATCAACCCCAGACCCAGCATCGTTGCCAAGTTGATCCCCACGATGAGCACTTCCCAGATTCTGGCTGCCGTCCTAATTGGGGCTCTATTGCAGCGGTCTAGATGCCAAGGGACTGAAGAGGGAGTATCAAAAGGGCCCTTTTACTTTCCTGGGGCTTAAGCTCTGTCGTTACCACAAGTTACGCGACGTCCATTCTCGCTTTGCGTCGCATCAAGCCGGAGGTGCTACCACTACCACTACTACATCTTACTACCACTCACTACACTAATCGCACTACCACTATTAGTACAGCCTTACTATTACTACTATTACTCTACTCCAACGTCCGGGCCAACGTCCCCAACGTCCCAATACCTAACCCCCCAAGTCCATATTGAAACAATCAAATTTTTCGTTCAAAAAAAAAACACCCCAGATATACATGCACCTCCCCAGTAACAACAAAAAAGAAAGCAAAAGATGGGGTAAACGGGTACCTTGCAAAACAACCTCTTCCCTACAGGCTGCCTTATGCCCGCCCCTCCCCTCCCCGCCTACAGATGTCCCAATCGGCATTCTTGTTGCCATTGCCCGTAACAAAAAGCAATAGGTCAAAAAAAAAAAAAAAAAAAAAAAAAAAAGTAAAGTGAAAAAAATGAAAAAAATGAAAAAAATGAAATATCTTGACCGGTATTCCTCCCCTACCATCCATCCACCGCGCACTTGGGTCCCCTATCACTGGTACTTGGGTTGCTACCTTACTCTACCTCACCTCTGGCTACCTCGCAAGGTGGCAACCTACTCGTAACCTAGGCCTCTAACCTGGCCTAACCTACTCTACGAGTGAGTGCGCAAAATAAAAAGAACACAAGCTGTCTGTGCGAAACCGACTAGCTGGGGAACGAACTCCAAAATGTCTCACCCACCGACAGCTAGTCAACGACGACGCCAACGCTTACTCTACTCTGTCAATGATGACTACAGCATAGGTAGCTAGAGTAGCTAGCTAGCTAGCCAGAGCGTCCTAGCGAGCGATCGAACGAGCGAACGAGGCGGATTGATGCCAGAGACAAATTTGATTTTTTCCACAACTTTCCTGAAATTAAGTGCCCTGCAACGTCCTCAGGCAGGTAGGTAGAGCAAGTATGGTACTCTACGGGACGCGGCGTATGTGCATATGTATTTGTCCGCGATATGTATGTTGCAGGTACTCTACTTTCGGAGATGCACATGTAGAATTGTTAAGCTTGCCTAATATCAGATCTCGTGAGTAAAGTAGCTAGTAGCTGCTTCATGTAGGTACTTACTCTACATACTTCATTTCCATGGAAAGGAATGGAAACCTCGTGTAGAGTATTGTATAATTGACCCGATCCCGATCCCAATATACGAAGCAACACACACTGCTTAAACAGCTGCTGCACTGCCATATTTAGATCTCCAGGAACTCCAGACTACATTCAGCATGAGCAGTAAAGTAAAAGTACCCCAGACTTTTTTTTTGATTGTGTGCACTGGCCCTCTAGAGTAGGTCCCCTTCTGCCTACATTGTACATTACATATGCGTCAGCAAGGCACCATCGACCACGGACGTAGCTAGCTATGTCCCTTGGTAATCTCTTCTCTGCTCTTCTCCGGGTACTCTAGACCGCACTCTAGAGTACATAGAGGGAGCTTTTTAATTCTCATTCTTCCTTCTTGATATGATTGGGCTGCCCTGTCATCATCATGGGGTTATACGAAACGTTAATCATAACCGGTCAATTATTATTATTATTATTCTTGAGAACACGCACAGGTCATTTTAGAGTACGAGCGTTTTATTTTATTCCTTCCTTATGCCTCCATCCACTCCGGAATGCCTCCACTCACTCCTGCTGCCCCCTTGAGGTTGCTAACCGAGATATAATTGGTTTTTTCTGGCATGTGGATCATGGTTTTTTCTTGATTTGGGACGCCTTTTTTCTTTTCGCGTTGTGATCGCCGTGATATAGATGGGTGATATAGATATATATTAAAGCATAGCATAGCATAATATGGCATAGCATAGCATAACGGGTGGGTAGTGATGATAGAGGTATGTGGAGCTACAGGGAGATAATAGGACAAAACCACATACAATTGCCCAGCTCCCTGGAATACAATGCCCACCTTCAATCCCTACCCACTCTACTCCACAATCCATGCAACAGCATGTAGCCCAGGGACACACCTCACCGACAGACTCAAACCACTTTCCTAAACCAAATGAAATAGATGAAACAACTCCAATTCGATGTTCTCGTGTGCGACAGGAGGATTGATCATCCGTCTCCATACATAAATCCGATCCTCAGGGCAGCATATGGACAGGGACCAGAGCCCACCTCACACTACGGACCGGACCTTTAGCGATGGATGGGATGGATGGTTCGTCCCTCTTGGGGAGGTTTAGCGTGATCAGCAACGACGAAGATCACCGCATATGTAAACAGGCTTTTTGGGCAAGCAGGAGAGCAAGGTACTCGGGCCCTTTTCTCCCTTAGATGGAACTCAGCCGGTTGTTCCATGGGTGGATGACAGTAGAGAGGAAAGCTCGACCCTTTGGGCTGTCCGTGCTACTCTACACCCACCCTCTCAAAACGCAACTCGACAAGACCAGGAGGATTTGCAATTACGTGTTTGGGGGAGGAGGGTGGTAACCACTGGGAGGTAGCACGCTGCACGGATGGGGGGGTTTGTGATATGTGACCAAGATGGGTGGCATGCAAATAAAGTAGTTGGGTATCCAATCGCTTCATGGGACGAACGGGAAAAGAAA